GACTGCACAGCATTGATCTTTTATGTAGCATAAGACAAACAGCACTGTAGCAAAGTGATAAACTTAATCAATGGCTCCTAAGCGGTAGGCTAGAATTCTAAACACAGGACAATTTATGTTACTATAGGATTAATGTCAACAGATCTACTCTGTTTGACAAATCCCTCCCTCTCCATCTTGCTTGTTACCTTGGACACTTCAATGTATCATGTGCCTTTCCCAGAGAGCTTTGCTTTCCACTATTAATGACTTTCAAAAACTGTTCTGTCTTGACATCTTGCTTCCCAGACTCTGCTGTAAACTAAATGAATTCCTTTAATAGCAAAGTTATCATCATCAAGATGCTTTATTTTTAGGGAAATGAAGAAAGACAGCTATGCTCTTCCTATGCTAACCGCTATGAAGCCTAAAGACTTTGTGATTTGCACATTCCAGTATATGAGGGAGGAAAACGAGCCCAGATTAAAGTTTTTACATACTTTCTGACCTGGAACCAATGAAGGTGAATTTGGAACCAGATTTTGCAAGATCCTGCATGAATCTGTGTTAGGCATTTCCACATTTATTAAAATGGACAAACAATATGAATTAGTCAAGCGGCAAAATAAGAAATAAATTTTATTAAGGGTAGTTGCCTACTCCTGAATGCCATTTACTTTCTGGTTTGTATTATTCATGAAAAAATGCACAAGGAGAATAAAAAATGTCATGAAAAACTAACACCAATGGCTACTGGCCAGCATCCCTTCTAGTGAGCTTCATAGCTGCAGTAACTGAGCTCTTTCTTTTCTGCTTTTCAAAATAGAATATTTTGCATCTTTCTCATATTCATCCAACTACTCTGACTTTTTTGTGTGTTTGAGATAGCTTTGTATCAAAAGAGGAGTTTTCTTCTAAGTAATTCTAAGCAAGAATTTAATACATTAAGGAGCATTCCAAACCAACCATTAATTTCATTATTTCAAAGTTCTTTTGTGCATATCATGGCAATTTAAATGGAAAATATTATGAACGTATTTCTGAAAAAAACTTCCATATAGTAATTTCACTAGAAATACAATAAGTGCTTATTAAGCTATAGTAATTCTTGTGTCTCCATATTACAGTAAAACTAATGTAATTTGTTGCATATAACGTAATTACATCTACTAAAGATTGTTTCCACTTTGAGAATAATCTAAGCCCTTTTCAAAAAGCATGGGCATATCAAATATAGCTAATGAAGTATTAACACAGTTTACACATGATGTCTTTCATGTGGGAACCACAAAGTACTTGACAAAGATTATCTTTCACTACAAAAAATAGCAAGAATCATTACTTAACATTCCATGTACCAGAAAAGTGAAGTGCTCTCTGAAAAAGAGATTAACCAACTATGCTAGCCTCACATGTCAAGTAACTAAACTGGGAATAGAACCTAAGAGTTCTGGCACCTAATTCCCCGTTGAAGGCACAGGCCACGTTATATCCAGTTATACAAAACACCACTGACATCAGCAGAAGTACAGTTTATCCCCTCTAGCATTTTAGAATGTCAGTCTCCATAACACTCTCAGTGTTTTTTGTTACAACACAGCAAGTATTAGATTTAATTGGTATTAATTGTAATTAGGAAATGTAAACAGTTCAGTTCAAGCAAATTAATCTTTTTTCTTACGGTATTTCCAACTTAGCATTGACTAGAAAGTATGAGAAATAGTGCGTGTGAGAAAAACCTGAATATCTATGAGTTCCAGCCCTATTTTCAAGCCAGAAGTTTCAGAAAAGCATCTGAGCTTTGGATACTTGCTGTGAGCTGGCAGAAAGATAACAGACAATTTTTTCTTACATTTGCTTAAACCAGCCACAACTCTTTTTTAAACAAACAAAACTGAAAGCAGATGCTTAACGGATGCTCAGTTTTATCAGCTATCTCCTAATTTCAGAGAAGCAGCTGAGTTTCTAGACACTTATCTAAATTGAACCTCTGAGTTTGACCTTTGTCCAATGCCTATTCTAGTACCATAAATGAAGATGGGTTTCTGAGGTTTTTTTCAGTGTAGAATTTTACAGGATTTCCATTCTAATTCCACAGAAAGTGCCACCCATCAATTATAAAGATTCAAATCAATCAAGTGACTGAAGGAGAAATAGTCAATAATTATAGGATCTGACCACCTACTGACAACTAATCTCAGAAAAAGGTAGATGAAACAGAAATGTCAAAAGATTATAAGTTAAATTAGACAAAACTAAATGTGCATGATTAGATACCAGAAAACATAATACTATAAACCAAATGAACAAGACGACATAAGCAAAAAGTGGACCAGTAAGTAATCCATGTGGTTTTGCTCTTTCTAGAATACAAAAAACCCTGAAAAATTAGAACGTGTCAAATAAATTTAACAACTGATATAAATGGATATATGTTCTGCAGGACACTGCAGGAATGTATCCTGTCCTTTTTTTTTTAATATATAAATTATTCACAAATACAAGGATAAAATTTTCTGTTACACTGACAAAGATAAATATATCTCAATTTCCACTTCAATAGACATAAAAAGGGCAAATGTTTGGAGAAGTATATTTTTCTATTTGAAATCATAATGCACAATTAAATTGCCATTTCTCTAAAGCAGAACTAATCTTCTTTCAAGATCAACTGGATATTTTTATCATATTCCACCCATGAGAAGGCAGAGTAGCTCAGCCTTGCAGGAGAAACCAGGTACTGTCTTGCTTTTATTGTTTGGGACTGTGGTGATAAGCATTTGCTATTCCTTCCACTGGCTTTAGCTGGGCTGGAGTTAACTTTCTTCACAGCAGCTCGTATGGTGCCGTGTATTTGGTTTGTGACTAAAACTGTTGATAACACATCCATGTTTTAGCTGTTGCTGAACAGTGCTTGCACTCCATCAAGGCCTTCTTTATTTCTAATGCTGACCCCTAGAAAGTAGGCTGGGGGTGTACAAGAGGCTGGGAGTGGCCACAGCTGGGACAGCTGGCTGAATCAACCAAAGAGATAACCCATACCATACGGCATCATGCTCAGCAATACATCTGGGGAAAGAAGGGGGAAGAGAGGGGGAAGCTAAGAGTTACGGTGTTTGTCTTCCCAAGTAGTGGTTATCTGTGATGGAGCCCTGCATTCCTGGAAAAGGCCGAACACTTGCCGATGGGAAGCAGTGAATGAATTCCTTATTTTGCTTTGCCTGTACATGCAGCTTTTGCTTTCCCTATTGAACTGTTTTATCTCAACCCATGAGTTTTCTCTCTTTTACCCTTCTGACCCTCCTTTCCACCCCAGCGAGGGGGAATGAGCAAGCAGCTGTGTGGTGCTTAGCAGCCCACCAACTTAATCAAAACAGTTCTCAAGAGATCCAGGGTGCAATAAGAATTATAGAATGTGATATGATAGTGAAAGACACTATTTGGTTAGGGTTTTGGCAAGACCTGGGGAAAATTGAATTATGGTCCAGCTCTGTACCTGAGTCCATCATTTTGACTGCTCTGCTCCGATTCATTTCAGGCCAGTAGTGAGGAAAGAATACAGTCTGTTCATTTCTGAGCTGCTCTAACAGGGTAATTAATACAGTGCGATGAATAAATTAATTGGACAAGATACAATTACACTGATCTGCTACAATACTTTGGCAAGCGAGATCGAGAAGCATGCTGGACATCATAGTGGTTCTGTAGAAATATACATAGTGCTATCTCCATCTTGATGCTATGGTTAAACTGTAAGTGAAAATTTCCAATTAAGCAAGTTGGAAAGACAATACAACTATCTTGCAGTGACATAAAGATTTCCATTATAATTTTTTTTGTTTTAGAAGTTCTGTGGAAAGAAATTTGCAGCTTTAATACTGTCCAAATACACTTGCAACTAAAATAAAAAATATATCAAATAAATACATCCATTGAGCTCCATGGCCAGGGAGAAGGGTGAGGAAGAACATTAGTTTATTAAGCAGTACAATGTATCAGGGACAGTATTTAAAATAAGATAGCCTCATGAAATAGAGTTATTAAAAGACATTAGGGCAATCTGTATAAAAAGGATTAAGCCAATTCATACATTCTTGCAACAATATGATTGATCACTAACAGTAAGTAAACATTCTGCCTGAATTACTAGATTCAGATAGTTCACTTGACTTCTCAAACAGTAAATTATTAAACTGTTCATGATTTCTGCGAGAAATACCAGTCCTTTGGCAATATTTAATTCTTAACAGCTCTTAATACAATCATCAGAAATGCAGCACTAACTCTGTTTACTCAAACAGTCTGTGCTCCTACAACCCGGGGGGGTGGGAAAGGGAAATCTAAGCCCTTATCTATTTTGCACAGCTCCAGAGACAATGGTTCTGGCAGAAGCAGGTGGCTGGGAACACATAGTCTAGGAACCAGGAGAGAGCAGGACTGTTCTTTTCAACAACAGCAACCTGTGTTTACATTGTCTTGAACTGATCATCAAATTGTACCTCAGACCTCACCCCTGTCATCTCCACACCTACCCTGGTAAATCACTTCCTTACACCTATTTCTGTATCACACAAGACAAAATCTCCAAATCTGAAGTAGGCAGTTATTAAGCCCACACTATCAATAAAAGATACCACTACTTCATGTGTGTATATGGACTTTCTCTAGAAGGGTATTTTTAATTCTAGTCTCGTATAAACTTGAAGCTTTATATTCCCTCTGATAAATGTGGTGTATGATGAATACCTTTTTCATGTTACCTACAAATAACAAGAAAGAACAAAGCAGAAAATAATCAATAGGCAATGGGTGAGATCAAGGGAACAATTATCTTCGACAAGTGATGTCCAAGTTCTGTGTAACCATTATTCTTATCATATAATAGGCACATTAGGAACATAATCCATAACAAGATGGAAATTTTCAGAGGCAACAGATATTTAATGCAGTTTACAATATATATAACTTTGTAAACCACCACACTATTTATCAATAATTTTCTTTTTTTCAAATGCGGTTACCTTTCTGGAAGAATTCCTCTAGTTTCTCCTTGAAGGGCTGGAGATGCTCTTCAGAAGACTCTCTGCAAACTAACTTCATCTGCTTTTCAGAGGCTATAAAAAGAAGTTGAGATACATTTGCAGCAGAATTCATGTACCAGAAGTAGATGTCAACACTGTAAAAGCATACATCCAAATTAGTAACCTAGACTTCAGAGGAAATGGAAATAAATAAGCACCAAGGAATCCAGCAATTCCATTAAAACAAAAAATACCAATACTACTCCAGCACACCAAATAGAAAATTCCATGTTTGTTTAAAAAGAGTGGAATTTGTCTTTAGTAATGACTTTGTCCTAAAATTCCAGCTGTGTGCTGAGACTTGCTGCTAACACAGCCTGCCTCACACACAAAATATTTAAAGGTGGATGATACCTTGTAAAAATCAGGACTGATTTTAATCAGTCAGTGCCAGGCATCCTAGACTGAACCACTTTTCCTAACACAGATGCAGGAACTCAGGTTTACTTAAGTATTCGAATTCCAGGCCATGATATGAAACAGTAGAACCCTGTAAGAAAGTTAACTTACATCTAACTGCAATTATCTTACTATTTAATCTACGTGTTATTTCGAGACCTGATGCTATGTCATTTTCTAAAAACTCCCTGTTAATCACCAATGAATTTTAACATTCCTAGAACTTCTACAAAACATTGTTGATTCCAGCATTCCACAATAAAGATGAAATGAGACTGTTAGAAATCAAAATGCAATTACCTTTCATCTAGCAACTGAATTTATGAACTACTCTAAGATTTTTTTTTTCCATGACTCTTCATTCCGAAGAAGCTAAATTTAGATGGAAATTTATTTTGGAGTTAAACCCAAGAGTTACAGTTTGGCTGCATGAAACATATTCACACCATATTGCTACCACCATTAGAGAATTCAACTCATTGCAGCAAAAATTAATGCAAAACTGTGGAAACAGAAGTTGAGAATTTGTAATTAAAATGTCATGTTAATACAAGGTTGTAATGCAGTGAAAGAAGTCAACAGATGTTTGAAAACAGATGCCTACCTTTTACTGTACAATTAGTAGTGTGCTTATAATACTCTTGGACCACTAGGACTTACTAAAACAGACTTTGAACTAATTGAGATCACAAATACATTTGGACTTCTGTTACAGAAAAATGTGGAAAAGACACCTGTTCCCACCTAAGCGTGTATTTTAATGTAGCATCCCTCCACAACTCATGTAGGTTGTGGAATATGACATTATTGGGGAGCTCCAGAGCTTATGTAAAATGGCCTGGGCTACAGCCTAAGTTTATCTTTAATCCCTAGTCTTGCAACCTGTAGCATAAGGCAGACCTTTCAAACTGTTCAGAGTAAAGTTAATGGATATTTGCGAGATAGTAGGAAGAAAGAAGCATTCATTTAAATAAGAAATTGTGAAAGAAAGTCTTTTATTAGGTGCTTAGCTGTGGTCTTTTAATATATTAAATAAAAAAAAACAAATCAGAAATCAGGGAAGTTTATAAACTTTTTAAAGATTATTTTCTTATGATACATGCCCCTTACTGTTAAAAATTTGAACTTTCCATGACTGTTATCATATGCTGAATGAAATTTATGTACACTTAACATTTATGTTTGTAGAATTAGCAGAAGATTTCTACAGCGATTCAAGAAAATGGTAACATTTTCAAAGAAGATGAACACAGAATTGCACAGGGGAAAAATCTGGCAAAATAACTGAGCTAATATTGTTAAGTTTATGACTGGAAGTTTGGACAAAGTAGCACCTACAGGTTTGTGGTTTTTCTTTGTGTTTAAAAAATCTACAGAAATTGATATAAGGCAATATTTAAATATTATTTTATATATAATATAAAATTACCAGAGTGTAAAAGTATTAATACACACATTATGTTCAGGCATTTAGTACACAGTAACAATAGAATGCACAATTATTACAATCAGGTAAGGCTGGCAATGACTGCAATCCAATAATTATTTTATTATAATCTTATATAAATAATTTGTATAAATCTATATAGAAATAGATTTCTATGAAAATGTATTATAATAATAAGCTTGTAGCTACAGTGGTATCTAAACATAGTCTAACATTCTCTAGAAGGGTGTTGCTAATGCATTGTCTGGAGTATTGAAAGCTTCCAAGATGCTTCCTACAAGCTTTAGTAACACAAGATTCAGAAAGGTTACTAATATATGTCCCATGTAAATACTTAAGTGATGATGACTAGGATGTATTGTTTCTAAATTAAGAAGAAAGCACATATAACCTCCTTCAGTAATGTCTTTTTTTAAAATAAAGATGACTAACATTAACCCTAATCAGATGACAAAAACTACAAGAAAATATGGACAAGAAGTACCACCAGCATGTAGAGAAAAAGCTGATTTGGGTAGTGAATTCTTAAGAAGAATCCTAACGTCCTTAACAAGATCAACATTTGGTATGAGGGAAGAGTAAGAGTAAGAAGACAGGCACAGAAGAGAAGAGCAAAAGAGACAGATGACATAGAATAAGTGAATCAGGGGTGCTGATTAAAACTCTAATAAAAGTACGAGACGATGAAAGGAGATGAAATACCACTTTGCGTTGCTTAAGTCATCTTGAAACAATGAAACTGAAAGACAAAAGAAGTCAAGTAAATGCTGGCAGACTCTAAGAATTTATATCATTGGAAAGCCTTAAAAAGAGACCTTTGGATGATTCTCTCTGCTGCTGCTATTTAACTACATGATACCTATCTAAAACCAAAATCCATCAGTTTACTTCCTGAAGTTCTACAAACTTGGTCTACAAACAAGCAAACAAGTATCTGGGCAACTGAAGGTTAATCAATTCTGTTTAAAGTCAACTGCACTGAAATATTTGAATAAATTTGGAATTTCTTTGCTTGCTAGCATTAAAAATAAGACACATCACACAGGTATGGAGGCATTGGCTGAAGGCAGTAATGAACTTCATCTGGAACTGCAGTTCAAAAATTTTTTATTCCTGCTAAAAACCAGTCCTATGCAGAATAATGATTCCTTGTTCAATAATTGTAACAAAAGCAGGGCTAGGACAACACACCAGATGTATCTTTTAGGCTGAAGAACTCTGGAACAACATCAAGTTTGCCTGGGGATCGATATGGCAAAGAATAGAGGATGTGTGTTCAAAGGAATCACAAATGAGATACAAATAAAGACACTTGGAAGAGGAAAAATATTTTCATGACAAAGCTAAATCAAACATTTGGATTAAAATGGCAGTTGTAATTCTATGCATTAAAGTCAGATGGCCTTTGTCAACCTACATTTGTAATATTGGTGGAAGGCTACCATGCGACTCTCCAACTTGCCTCAGTTCTACACAACACGATATAAAGTTTTCTGGTAACTAGCATTCATAGAATTTCCTGTTATACAAGGCGTTGTTTTGTTTGTCTACTCAAAAATTTGAAATATATTGTTTAAAAAAAAAATAAAAATTATGAAGTCATGCCAAACTACGTAAAAATTTAAAACTGAAAAGTCCTGCTCCATGAGTTGCTCAGACTTTCTTTGCTAAAAATGCTGTAATGGGTGAGGGAAGATTACATGAATATTTAATATTTTGTTCTCATAGCCACAACATTAGAAAACCTTTGCCTTTTAAAAGAAAATTATTATAGCAAGGTTTTTATTAGAATGATTCTGAGCCATTACGTATTCCTTCTTTGAAACAAATTTTGAAAGGCCTCTTTCTGAAAAAAAATTCTTTTGGAAATTCTGAGGAAACTGAAGGGATTCTGAGGAATCTGACAGCTGGCACACCACACATACATTTATCCTCTCACCATCTCATTCCAAAATAATCTGAGAAAATAAACAACCTGTTTCAGCATTACTGAGTTCAAACAGATGCAAATTCTCCATTACTGTAATAAACTTTTGGTTCATTTTCTTGGTATGCATTGTATGTTAGTGAAATTAAATGTAATATGCTACTCTGAAAATGGTTTATTTCTAAATGAGCTATTGCAAAAAAAAAAGAAAATATGAGTGTGCAACAGTATTTGAAAGCCCTTGGAAATTGTTGGATATACATCATGTTTCACGCACTGCAAGTCTTGGCCGCAGAAATGGAAACCATTAGCAAAACATTAAAACAAAGCTGGAAACTGCTGATTATCAGTTTGCCACTGTCTTCAGATTTAATGCAGTACTTGGCTCAAAACGTTCTTTAAAAATCCCCAATATAAGTGAAAATATTTACAAAATAGAATGTCTCTCACTTAATGCCTATTGGGCAATAGTCTTTTAAAACTCCACAGACACTTGTAAATCTGTCAAAAGAATCACTGCCCATAAACAAACTTTCACGTAAAGAGCATTTCAGTGTCAATCAGACAGGATTTGGAATTTTTTAAGCACCATTTTAAAAGTAAACGCAAAACCAGAAATAGTTTAATGTTGATAACAGTAAATTACTAACTATTTACTCACCAAAACACACCAGTAGCATTAACAGGAATCATCCTGACAGTGGAACCAAGTATCAACACCACGAATTCCTATAAACCTGTCACTGACACTATTCCCTGTGACTTATGCCACTGTGAAAGCTGCCAAACCACCCTCCTCCTCTTGTCTGTTCAAAGCCTGGCAGATTATACTGCCAAGCTGGCTATTTTATTTTCTTGTTATAATGCAGGCTTATCTTTGACAGGACAGTTACTATTTGATAGTTCTTTTTGATAACTCTTCCATTTTCTCTTTCAAAGGGGATTTGAAACCACATCGCAAATGAATTCAATGAAGCTCTAAATAACCCCAAATTTCTGTATGAGAGGATCCATGACTTTCTACAGTGCAGAAGCCTGTTACTCTACTTGGGCCTATAGACCCAAATAAGAGTCCAATAAAATTCAGATACAATACATAGATTTAAATTATTCAAGAAATGCTCTATAACTCCCTCATGATTTAGTCTGTTTCATTTTGCTTTATTACATTTTTTATTTGCAAACAACTTTCTAAGTTAAACAAAAAGTTACAGGAGATGCATGTTTACCCGTTTTTCACTGTTTTTCACTGTTGCAGGA